AGACCCTCGGGGAGGGATTTGGGGGGTCCCAGGAGGGGTTTGGAGGAGTTGGGAGGGGTCCAAGGAGTCCCAGGGTGGGTTTGGGGGTCCGGGGGGGGTTCCCAGGAGTTTTGGGGAAGATTCTGGGGGTTCCCCGGAGGGTTTTTGGAGGGATTTTGGGGGTTCCCAGGAGATTTTGGGGGGAGAGATTCTGGGGGTTAGCGGGAGTTTTTGGGGAATTCTGGGGGTTCCCAGGAGATTTTGGGGTGGGGGGGAATTCTGGGGGTTCCTGGAAGGGTTTTGGGTGGAATTCCGGGAGTTTTGGGGGGATTCTGGGATTTCCCGGGAAATTTCTGGGGGGATTTGGGGTTCCCAGGAGTTCTGAGGGTCTCCAGGAGCCCCCGGGTCCCCCGAACTCACCCGACACCACCATGGCCTCGTTGGGGCCGCAGGTGAAGAACATCGCGGCGGGGGAGGGCCGGGGATCGATGGGAATCGATGGGGATCGATCGGGGCCGATCGGGATCGATCGCGATCCGCGACCGCCACCCCGATCCCGGCAGGCCCCGCGCTCGCTACTTCCGCATTAGCGCGGTGACGCCACCGAAAACGTGGCTTCCCATTGGCTGCCATGCCAAGAGCGGGAAGAGGAGGTCTGTTCTGCCTGGCAACTTGTGACGTCCCCGATTTCCCGGCACTCCATTGGCTGCGCCCTGCTCAAATTTCCGTAGTTTCCATGGGAAATGAACAATTTCAGTTCGGGATGAACCTGGAGGGGAGGGCAGTGACGGGGTCTGGGGAGCTCCAGACCATGGCCGGGTCGCGGTCATCTCATGGCCAGCTCATGGTCATCCCAGGCTCAACTATAATCGTATTATGGTCATCTCACGGCTGTGGTCATCTCATGGTCATGGTCATGTCATGGTGATGGTCATCTCCTGATCGCCATCATTTATGCTTATGGTCATCTCATGGTCAAGATCACGTTATGGACATGGTCATGTCATGGTCATTTCTTGGTCACAATTCCTCATGGCCATGGTCATCTCACAGTCATTGTTATGTCATGGTCACAGTCATGGACATTTCTTGGTCACCTTATGGCCATAGCTGTGTCATGGTCATCTCAAGGTCATAGTGCTCTCATGGTCATAGTCATGGTAATCTCATGGTCATCTCTTGGTCTCAATATCTCATGCTCATGGTCATCTCACAATCATAGTCATGTCATCATCATGGTCATGGTGTCACCATGACAGTCATGGTCATTTCCTGATCACCATCATCTCATGCTCATGGTCAACTCACCATAATGGTCATCTCATTTCTGATTACCATCATCTCATGGTCATGGTCACAGTCATGGTCATAGTTCTGTCAAGTTCATATCATGGTCATGGTCATGGTCATGGTCATCTCGTGGTCACAATTGTCTCTTTATCACCATTATCTCGTGGTTGTGCTCACCCTGTGGCCACAATAATTTCATAGCCATGGTCATACTGTGGTCATCTCCTAATCTCAATCATCTCATACTCATGGTTGTGTCATGGTCATTGCATGTTCATTTCATGGGCTTGGTCATCTCCCAGTCCCCATTATCTCATGCTCATTGACATCTCCCTGTAATGGTCATCTCATGGTCACCTCATGGTCATCTCAAGGTCATGATTGTGTCATGGTCATTGCATGGTCAAGGTCATCTCATGGTCTGGATCACTTTGGCCATAATAGTTTCATGGTCATCTCATGGTCATTTCTCGATCACCTCATGGTCATATCATGGCCACAATCACATCATCAAAGCAGTGGTTGTGTCACAGTCATGGTTATTCCATGGTCATGGTCATCTCATTGTAATGATCATCTCATGGTCATAATCATGTCATGGTTGTGGTCATCTCACTATCACATCATCATCTTGATCACCACATGGCCATGATGTGTTGTGGTCATTTCATGGTCATCTTTTGGTTACAGTTATCAAATGCTCACAGTCATGGTCATGGTCATCTCATTGTTGCCTCATGGTCAGCTCATGACCGCAATCACATCATGGTCATCTTACATCTGTGATTGTGTCATAGTCATGGTTCTCTCTTGATCAACTCATGGTCAAAATCTTGTCATGATCTTGATAATTTCATGGTTGTGGTTGCATTATGATCACAGTCATGGTCATCTCATGGCCTTGATCACCCCACGGCCACGGCTGCATTGTGGTCACGTCATGGTCACAATCATCTCATAGTCACAGTCATCTCATGGCCATCTCAGGGTGATGATCATTTCCTGATGACCATCATCTTATGCTCATGGATATCTCACTGTAATGGTCATCTCACAGTCACCTCATGATCTTGATCATACACGGCCATGGTGTGTTGCAATCATCTCCTGTTATCAAATGCTCACAGTCATGGTCATGGTCATCTCATTGTTGCCTCATGGTCAGCTCATGACCGCAATCACATCATGGTCATCTTACATCTGTGATTGTGTCATAGTCATGGTTCTCTCTTGATCAACTCATGGTCAAAATCTTGTCATGATCTTGATAATTTCATGGTTGTGGTTGCATTATGATCACAGTCATGGTCATCTCATGGCCTTGATCACCCCACGGCCACGGCTGCATTGTGGTCACGTCATGGTCACAATCATCTCATAGTCACAGTCATCTCATGGCCATCTCAGGGTGATGGTCATTTCCTGATGACCATCATCTTATGCTCATGGATATCTCACTGTAATGGTCATCTCACAGTCACCTCATGATCTTGATCATACATGGCCATGGTGTGTTGCAATCATCTCCTGGTCATCTCTTGGTCACAATCATCACATGCTCATGGTCATCTCACAGTAAGGGTTATTGCATGGTCATGGTCATTTTATGATCACCTCACGCTCAACTCATTTGCCACAATCTTATCGTGGTCATCTCTCAGCTGTGGTTGGGTCGTGGTCATGGTTATCCCATGATCAGCCATCTCATGTTCATCACATGGTCATGGTCATTTGCTGACAGTCCTCATCTCATCCTCTCAGTCATTGTTATGCTCATCTAATGTTCCCAATCATATCATGGTCAGCTCATGGCCATCTCATGGTCATGATGATCTCATGAGCATGGTTATCTCATGGCCATCTCATGGTCACAATCATCACATGGTCATGGTTGTCTCATTGTTATGGTCATCTGGTGGCCATTATTGTATCATGGCCATGGTTATCTCTTGCTCATCTTATGATGAGCAAAAGCTCATCATGAGCTCATCTCATGGGGTCTTTATGACCCCGTGGCCATGGTTAAGTCATAGTCACCTCATGACCTTGATCACGTTATGGCTTTGTCATGGTCATGAAATGCTCATGGTCATGACATGGTCATGGTTATTTCATGGTCAACTCATGGCTACAGTCATGTCATGGTCATCTCCTGATCACCATCATCTCATGTTTATGGTTGTCTCCTGATCACAATCATCTCATGCTCATGCTCATGGTCCTCTCATGGTCACCATCTCATGCTCATGGCTGTGTCATAGTCATCTGACGGTCACAGTCCTCTCACAGTCATGATCATCTCATGGCCATAGTCACAGTCATGGTCATCACACACAGTCATCTCATGGTCAGCTCATGGCCACAATCATATCATGGTCATGTCAGGATTACAGCTGAGTCATTGTCACAGCCATCTCATGGTCATGGTCATGGTCATGATCATATCATGGTCATGCATAGCAATGGGGAACAAGGACACATGGACCTCCTTGTTTGCTCCAAGAAGATTGTTTATTGTAACTAACCAAGCCTTTTTATACTTTAAACTTGACCCAAACTTTACTGAAATAAGCACACATTGGCTGTCTGTCACTGTGGTGTAGCTATTGACATGTCCCTTCACCCAATCAGCTCTCTGATCATGTGGTGTCTACGAATCTCCCCAGCCAATCCCTGCCTCACACACGAGGTGACCACCAACCCACTCTCTGGCCATCGACCTGCAGCTGAACTTTCCCAGAGTGCCTTTAGGTGAACAGAAGTGAACAGGATTGAACAGAAGTGGAAAAGGTCCTTATTCTGTAAGGCTTATTTCTCACAGTTATTGTCATCATCATCTTATGGTCATGGTCATCTCATGGTCACAATCGTCTCACAGCCATGGTTGTGCCATGATCATTTCATGGTCTTGATCACCACAGAGCCATGGTGTGTTGTGGTCATCTCATGGTCACCTCTTGGTCAAGATCATGTCATGGTCATAGTCATGGTCATCTCAAGGCCATGGTGGTGTCATAGTCATCTCATGGTCATCCCATTGTCATGATCATCTTATGGTCACGGCCACCTCATGGTCCCTTTACCCAAGCAGCTCTCTGATCATGTGGTGTCTATGAATCTCCCCAGCCAATCCCTGCCTCACACACAAGGTGACCACCAACCCACTCGCTGGCCATCGACCTGCAGCTGAACCTTCCCAGAGTGCCTTTAGGTGAACAGAAGTGAACAGGATTGAACAGAAGTGGAAAAGGTCCTTATTCTGTAAGGCTTTTCTTATTTCTCACAGTTACTGTCATCATCATCATCATCTTATGGTCATGGTCATCTCATGGTCATGTCACAGTCACCTCATGGTCACAATCGTCTCACGCCACAGTTGTGCCATGATCATTTCATGGTCTTGATAAGAGCCATGGTGTGTTGTGGTCATGTCATAGTCACCTCTTGGTCAAGATCATGTCATGGTCACAGTCATGGTCATCTCAAGGCCTTCATAATTTCATGACAACAGTGGTGTCATGGTCATCTCATGGTCATCCCATTGTCATGATCATCTTATGGTCACGGCCACCTCATGGTCATGGTCATTTCCTGATCACCATCATCTTACGCTCATGGTCATCTCACTGTAGTGGTCATCTCATGATCATGTCATTGTCACTTCATGGTCATCTCATGGTCACAATCACATCAGGGTCACCTCAAGGCCGTGGTTGTGCCATGGCCAACCCATGGTCATCTCTTGGTCCAAATTATCTCATGGTCAGGGTTGTGATTGTGTCACGGTCACAGTGACGGCCATGGTCATGGTCATCCCATGGTCATGGTCATCTCAGGGTTGTGTCACTCATGGTCACTCTCACGGCCATCTCATGCTCATGTCATGGCCGTGGTCATGGCCAGGGAACCCCTCCGAGATCCTGAGCCCTGATTTTGGGACACTCAAGGGCCTCTGGGGACAACAAGGCCTGGTCTGACCCCTCCCCCCATCGCGCTGCCCTTCCAGGAGCCCGAGGCAGCCAAACCCTCCTGGGGACATCTCGGACATGGGACACGGAGCGGGAAATGAATCCCAGGGGATGGAGCAGGGTGTGGCTGGCAAGTCCCCATCCTGCTCCTGCTGCCCCTATCCCAGTCCTGGTGTCCCCATCCTGCTCCTGCTGCCCCTATCCCAGTTTCTGGTGTCCCCATCCCTGCTCCCAGTGTCTCCATCTCTGTCCCAGTGACCCCATTCCTGTTCCTGGCTCCCAGAGAAGAACTGCCACACACTGGAGGAGGGAACCCGGATTTATTGCCCCAAAGCAGGATTTATTGCCCCCAAGCAGGATTTATTGCCCAAAGCAGGATAATTTCACACCAGAAGTGAAGCATTTGGAATGTTTGTGGTTCTTGCCTTTAAAACATTGCAAAACAGGAAACAGATCCATTAGCAAGAGCAGTGGGGTGCGTGGGAGTAAGGGGATGAACTCTGCTGGCAGCTCTCAGCTTTCCTGGGACACATGGACATCTGGGCGCTCTGGAATGGGATAATGGTGGAATCCATGCACGGAGTTCCGTGGGAATGGGACTGGGGTGAGATCTGCCCATGGAATTCCCATTGGAATGGGATGGGGGCGAGATCTGCCCATGGAATTCCATGGAAATGGGATGGGGGTGAAATCTTACCATGGAATTCCTATAGGAATGGGATGAGAGTGAGAGCTACCCATGGAATTCCCACTAGAATGGGACAGGGGCGAGATCTAGCCATGGAATTCCCACTGGAAATCCCGCCCGTCGTAGCTGTACCGGTGGGATCCACGGACGCTCCCGTCAGACAGCAGGTCACAGCCATAAAGCCGCAGTACGGTGTGGAGACCTGGGGGGATTGTACCCACAGAGCCCCATGGAATTGCATCCCAGCCCCACAGAGCCCCATTCCAGCCCTATGGAGCCCCAGAGTCTGGTGGAGACCTACAGAGCCTCATCCCAAGCCCCTTGGAGCCCCAGGGATCCACATCCCAACCCCACGGATCCCAACCCAACCCCATGGATCCACATCCCAGCCTCAGAGTTCCCATTCCAGCCCCACAGATCCCATCTCAGGCCCATGGATCACAAGCTCTCCCATCCCAACCTCATGGATCCCTGTTTCAGCCCCTTGGAGCCCTCTGAATGCACACCTGAGACCTACAGATCCACATCCCAGACCCACAGATCCCATCCCAGCCCCACAGATCCCTATCTTAGCCCTACAGTTCCTATCCCAGCCCCACAGATCCCATCCCAGCCCCATGGATCCCAACCTGTCCCCATACATCCCATCCCAGCCCCATGGATCCTCACCCCAGCCCCACAGATCCCCATCCTAACCCCATGGATGCCCATCTTAGCCCTACAGTTCCTATCCCAGCCCCACACATCCCATCCCAGCCCCACGGATCTATATCCCAGCCTGTAGATCACAAGATTTTCCATCCCACCCTAATGGATCCCCATTTCAGCCCCTCAGAGCCCTGTAAATCCATTTTGGAGACCTATAGATCCCATCCCAGCCCCACAGTTCCCATTCCAGCCTCATGAATCCCCATCTCAGCTCTACAGTTCTTATCCCAACCCCAGACATCCCATCCCAGCCCCATGGATCCTCACCCCAGCCCTACAGATCCCATTCCAGCCCCACAGATTCCATCCCACCCCCATGGATCCCCTTCCTAACCCTATGGATCCCCATCTTAGCCCTGTAGTTCCCATCCCACCCCCATGGATCAAATCCCAGTCCCACAGATCACATTCCAGCCCCATGGACCCACATCCCAACCTGTGGATCACAAGACATCCCATCCCAGCCTAACAGATCCCCATTTCAGCCCCTTGGAGCCCTGTGAATCCACACCTGAGACTTATAAATCCCACCCCAGTCCCATGGATCCTCACCCCAGCCCCACAGTGTCCATCCCAGCCCCACGCATCCCCATCCTAAACCCATGGACCCCCATCTTAGCCCTACAGTTCCTATCCCAGCTCCACAGATTCCATCCCAGCCCCATGGATCCTCACCCCAGCCCCATGGATTCCCATCCCAACCCCACGGATCCCATCCCAGCCCCATGGATCTCCATCCCAGCCCCATGAATCTCCATCTCAGCCCTACAGTTCCTACACTAGCCCTACAGAGCTAATCCCAGACCCAAAGATGCCATCCCAGCCCCATGGATTCCATCCCAGCCCCACAGATCCCATCCCAGCCCCATGGATCCCAACCTGTCCCCATACATCCCATCCCAGCCCCATAGATCCTCACCCCAGCCCCACAGATCCCCATCCTAACCCCATGGATGCCCATCTTAGCCCTACAGTTCCTATCCCAGCCCCACACATCCCATCCCAGCCCCACGGATCTATATCCCAGCCTGTAGATCACAAGATTTTCCATCCCACCCTAATGGATCCCCATTTCAGTCCCTCAGAGCCCTGTAAATCCACTTTGGAGATCTATAGATCCCATCCCAGCCCCACAGTTCCCATTCCAGCCTCATGAATCCCCATCTCAGCTCTACAGTTCTTATCCCAACCCCACAGATCCCATCCCAGCCCCATGGATCCACATCCCAGCCCTACAGATCCCATTCCAGCCCCACAGATTGAATCCCAGACTCATAGATCCCATTCCAGCACCACACATCCCATCCCAGCCCCATGGATGGACATCCAAACCTGTGGATCACAGAATATTCCATCCCAGCCCCATGGATCCCCATTTCAGCTCCTTGGAGCCCTGTGAATCCACTTTGGAGACCCATAGATCCCATTCCAGCCCCACAGATCCACATCCCGACGCCATGGATCCCAACCTGTCCCCACAGACCCATCCCAGCCCCATGGATCACAAGTTATTCCATCTCAGCCTAATGAATTCTCATTTCAGCCCCTTGGAGTCCTGTGAATCCACACCTGAGACCTACAGATCCCATCCCAACCCCACAGATCCCATTCCAGCCCCACAGATCCACATCCCAACTCCATGGATCCCAACCCAGCCCCATAGATCACAAGCTATCCCATTCCAGCCTAATGGATCCCCATTTCAGCCCCTTGGAGCCCTGTGAATGCACACCTGAGTCCTACAGATCCCATCCAAGCCCCATGGATCCTCACCCCAGCCCCACAGATCCCAACCCAGCCCCATGGATCCACATCCAAACCTGTGGATCACAAGATATCCTATCACAACCCAATGGATGCTCATTTTCAGCCTATCAGAGCCCTGTGAATCCACACCTGAGACCTACAGATCCCATCCCATCCCCATGGATCCACATCCCAACCCCATGGATAACAAGCTCTCCCATCCAAACCTAATGGATCCTCATTTTCAGCCCCTTGGAGCCCTGGGAATGCACACCTGAGACCTAGAGATCCCATTCCAGCCCCATGGACCCTCACCCCAACCTTACAGTTCCTATCCCAGCCCCACAGATCCATATCCCAAACCATGGATCACTAAATAATCCATCCCAGCCTAATGGACTCTCATTTCAGCTCCTTGGAGCCCTGTGAATCCACAGTGGAGACCTACAGTTCCCATCCCAGCCCCACAAATCCTCATCAAACCCGTACAGTTCCCATTCCAGCCCCATGGATCCCATCCCAGCCCCATGGATCCCATTCCAGCCCCACAGATCCACATCCCAACCCCATGGATCCCAACCCAGCCCCACAGATCCCACCCCAGCCCCATAGATCACAAGCTATCCCATTCCAGCCTAATGGATCCCCATTTCAGCCCCTTGGAGCCCTGTGAATGCACACCTGAGTCCTACAGATCCCATCCAAGCCCCATGGATCCTCACCCCAGCCCCACAGATCCGATTCCAGCCCCACAGATCCCAACCCAGCCCCATGGATCCACATCCAAACCTGTGGATCACAAGATATCCTATCACAACCCAATGGATGCTCATTTTCAGCCTATCAGAGCCCTGTGAGTCCACACCTGAGACCTACAGATCCCATCCCATCCCCATGGATCCACATCCCAACCCCATGGATAACAAGCTCTCCCATCCAAACCTAATGGATCCTCATTTTCAGCCCCTTGGAGCCCTGGGAATGCACACCTGAGACCTAGAGATCCCATTCCAGCCCCATGGACCCTCACCCCAACCTTACAGTTCCTATCCCAGCCCCACAGATCCATATCCCAAACCATGGATCACTAAATAATCCATCCCAGCCTAATGGACTCTCATTTCAGCTCCTTGGAGCCCTGTGAATCCACAGTGGAGACCTACAGTTCCCATCCCAGCCCCACAAATCCTCATCAAACCCGTACAGTTCCCATTCCAGCCCCATGGATCCCATCCCAGCCCCATGGATCCACATCCCAACCCTACGGATCCCAACCTAACCCCACAGATCCCATCCCAGCCCCTTGAATCACATGATATTCCATCCCTGCCTAATGGATCTCCGTTTCAGCCGCCTATGAATGCACACCTGAGTCCTATGGATCCTCACCCCAGCACCACTGATCCTCACCCCAGCCCTACAGTTCCCATCCCAGCCCCACAGATCCCATCCCAGCCCCATGGATCCCCACGCAGCTCTGCAGTTCCCATTCCAGCCCTACAGTTCCCATCCCAGCCCCATGGATCCCCAACCCCCCTGGGACCCCGTTTTGGGAAGGGGCGGGAGTGGAAAACGGGGGGACACAAAAAGTTGGGAGATCTGGGGGGTCCAAAGGTCAAGGAAAAGATCCAAAGGCTCTGGGGTCTGGGAAAAGCGGGATGCCGGAAAAGGGGAGCAGGGGGTCCCAGAGCACTGACGGGGGTGGAGGGGGGTCCCAGTCCCAGATAAGGGGGTGCAGGGGAGTCCCAGTGTCTGGAAATGGAGATTCACAGATGTCCCAGTGCCCTGGAATGGAGGTTCAGGGAGGTTTGTGTGCCACGTTTTGGGGTTCAAAGGGATCCTGATCGCCAGGAATGGGGGTTCAGGTGGGTCCCGATGCCACATTAGGGGGTGCAGGGGGATCCCGTGGCAGGAAATGAACCTTCACGGGAGTCCCTGTGCCCAGGATTGGGGGTTCAGGGGAGCTTCCCTATGCAGGAATGGGGGTTCAGGGGATTCTCTTCCCGAAATTCGGGGTTCAAGTAGGTCCCGGTGCCCGGAAACGGGGGTTCAGGGGGGTCCTGGTGCTGGGGAAGGGGGTACAGCGGGGTCCCGCTGCCCAGAAATGAGCGCTCAGGGGGTCCCCGTGCTCAGGAATGGGGGTTCAGGGGGTCCCGGTGCCAGATGAAGGGAGACAGAGTGGTGGGGAAGGGGATTGAGGGGGATCACAGAACACAAAAAGGGGGTTATGTGTGGTGCCCTTGCCAGGGAATGGATGTTTAGGGGGTTTCGGTTGTCGGAAATGGAAGTTCAGGGGGTCCCGGTGCCCGGGAATTGCGGTTCAGGGGTGGTCCCGGTGCTGGGGAAGGGGATTGAGGGGGATCAAAGAACCCAAAATGAGGTTCAGGAAGGTCCCGGTGCCTGGAAATTGCGGTTCAGGGGGTTCCCGGTTTCGGGGTTCCCACTCACCTTTGGTCGCGACCCCCGGGTCCCCGAGGAGCCCCAAGAGCAGCCCCAGACCCAGCGCTGCAGCCATGGCGCTGCTCCGCTACAGCCCCGCGCTCAGCCCTGGCCCCGCCCACAGCCCTGGCCCTGCCCACAGGGCCGCCTCCGGCCCCGCCATTGGCTCCGCTATTTACTGTCCGCCAATGGCAACCCGATATGTCAGTGACGTCACCAGTCGCCGGGCAGATCCCGGTCTCTCAGGTTGGGACGCGGAAGCGAAAGGGACCGAGAAGGGCGGGGAGGGGAGGGGACGGGGGAATTCCGGAGAATCCCTCTGGATCTCTCTGGATCCCCGCTGCGACCGCCCTGGAGCCCTCTGAGAATCAGCTGGGACCCCCTTGGACACCCTTAAGAAAGCGCCGGGAATGGAGAACTGGGGGGGACAGGGGAATTGGAATTGATGCTGGATGAGGGGGTGCAGGGGGATCCCCGGGCTGGATAAGGCGGTGCAGGGGGGTCCTGGTGCATGAGAATGGAGGGTTTGGGAGGGTTCCAGTCCTGGATATGGGGGTGCACACGGCTCCTGGTGCAGTGGAATGGGGGTTCAGGGGCTCCTGGTGCTGTATAAGGGGATGCAATGCAGTCCCGGTGCTCAGGAAATGGGGTTCAGGGGGGGTTCCCTTCCCTGGTTCTGGGGTTCAGGGGGTCCTGGTGCCTAGAAATTGAGGTTCAGGGGGGTCCTGGTGCCGGATGAGGAGAAGCAGTAGGCTCCCAGTGCCCAGAAATGGGGGTTCAGATGTGTTTCCGTGCCAGAAATGGGGGTCATGGGGGGTCCCGGTGTCCAGAAATGTGGGTTCAGGAGGTTCCAGGCTCCAGGTAAGGGGTGCAGGGGTTATCGGGGCTGGGGAAGGGGGAACAGGGGGGTCTCGATGCCCCGAAATGAATGTTCAAGGGGGTCTCTGTGCTCAGGAAGGGAGGTTCGCTCGGAAATGTGGGGTCCAGGGGGTCTCAGGGAAAAGGAAAAAGGGGGTCAGAGGGCTAGGAAAGGAAGGATGGATGAGAAAGGGGGTGCAGAAGGGGACTGGTACTGGATAAGGGGATGCAGGGGGGTACCAGTGCCCAGAACTGAAAATTCAGGGGAGTCCCACTGCCCAGAATCCCCCCTGGCACCTTCCCGGACCCCCTGAGACCCCCCCTGTATGATGAGCAGGGGGTGAAGAACTGGGGGCATGCAGAGACTGGGGGGTCTGGGGGCATCCAAGAGGCAGGAATGGGAACCGGGAGAGCCGGGAAGGGGAAAGGGGAATTCCACGGAGTTCATCTGGATCCCTCTGGATCCCCCCTGCGACCCCCGTGACCCCATCTCAGAAAGCAGCGGGAATAGAAAAGGGGGAGGACACAGAAAGTTGGGAGATCTGGGAGGTCCAAAGACCAAGGAAAAGGTCTAAAGGGTCTGGGGAAAGCGGGATGCCCGAAAATGGGGGACAGGGCGATCCCAGAGCTCTGATGGGGTGCGGGGGGGTCCCAGTCCCGGATAAGGGGGTGCGGTGGGGTTCTGGTGGTGGGGAATGGAGATTCAGGGGTGTCCCAGTGCCCTGGAATGGGGGTTCAGAGAGATTTCCCTGCCCAGGAATGGGGGTTCAGGGGATTCTCTTCCCAGAATTCGGGGTTCAAGTGGGTCCCGGCACCAGGAAATGGCGGTTCAGGGGGGTCCCGGTGCTGCCGAAGGGGGTACATGAGGGTCTCGATGCTGGGGAAGGGGATGGAGTGGGGTCACAAAATGGGGGTTCAGGGGGTCCGCGTGCCGGGGAATGCGGGTTCAGGGTGAGTTTCCTTCCCGGAATTCGGGGTTCAGGGAGGTCCCGGTGCCAGATAAGGGGGTACAGGGGGGTCGGTGTGGCCGGAAATGGGTGTTCAGGGGGTGCCAGTGACCAGAAATGGAGATTCACGGGGGTCCTGGTGCTGGGGAAGGGGATTGAGGGGGGTCACAGGACCCAAAATGGGGGTTCAGGGGGGTTCGCGGTTGCCGGAAATGGAAGTTCCGGGGGTCCCGGTGCCCGGGAATTGCGGTTCAGCGCTTTCCCGGTTTCGGGGGGGGTCCCACTCACCTTTGGTCGCGCACCCCGGGTCCCCCAGGAGCGCCAGGAGCCCCAAGAGCACCCCCAGACCCAGCGCTGGAGCCATCGCAGCCGTCCCCGATCGCGGCTGTGGCGCAGCTCGAGAGACTCGAAAGCGAAAGTGCCCGAGGGAGCGCGGGGGGAAGGGAAAGGAGGAGGGGAAAAGGGGGAATTCCAGGGAATTCACCTGGATCCCCTCCTGGCACCCCTCAGGATCCCTCGGGGATCCATCTGGGACCCTGCACGGGCGCTGGGACCCCGATCCCTGATTGCCAGTCTCCTTCTTGCTCTCTGCTGTTCTCTCCCTTTCTTCTGGGGGATCACAAATCCCAGAGCGGCCGCAGAGCCCCGTGCCCAGCCCGGGCTTCCCAGCAAAGCGAGGCCTGGGGCTGAGGTGCCCTGGGCTGGCGGGGAATGGGGGCCCGGGGGTCCCCGGGGGGATCCAGGGGCTGGGAGAGGAGGATACCCGGGAAAGGGGGTGCAGGGGGGGGGTCCCAGTGCCCGGGAATGGGGTGGGGGGGCAGAATCTGGGAAACAGCAGCAGCTGCTGGGGAGGGACTGGGACAGACTGGGAAAAGAACCCACTGGGAGCAGAAGTGGGGCACCAGGGATCATGCTGGGATATACTGGGACCACACTGAGGGCTACTGGGAGCAACTGTGAGCATGCAGGGCACAATTAAGATGTACTGGGAGACCCTGGGAATGGTGGTAATCATCCTGGGACTAACTGGAATCATACTGAGAGTGATCAGATCTGTAGTAGGGGTGAATTAGAGAAACGGGAATAATGCAGGGGCAACTGGGATCATACTGGGAGCAGCTGGCCCATGCTGGTGTCATACTGGGATCATACTGGGATTGACTGGGTTAAACTTGGAGTGACTGGCATAGTACTGGGAGTGTCTGGCAGCTACTGGGATCATACTGGAGAGGACTGGCATCAAACCAGACTCATACTGGGAATGTTTGGGACTTATTGGGATTGTACTGGAGGTGACTGGACTGATACTGGGAGCAACTGGGACCACAGCAGGGGCAAATGGCATCGTGTAAAGTGTGACTGGGTTCATACTGGACTCTTACAGAGAGGGACTGAGAGGGAAGGAACCACACAGGGGATGACTGGGAGCCACTGGCACCATGTCGGGGGCAGCTGGAACCTACTGGGAGTGATTTGGACCATACTGGGAGTGACCGGGATCACGCAGGGGGTGACCGGGAACCACCGGGGAGGCGGCCCCGGCGCAGGTGGGAGCCGCGCTGGGTTGTGCGGGGGCTCGGGGCTGGCTGCGGGCCTCGGGGGCGGCAGGGGGCTCGAGCGGGTGGGTTGTGCCGTGGCCGGCCCGTGTTGGCCCTGGGCTGAGGGCGCTGCGGGAGCGGCTGCCCGCGGACTCCTTGCCGCCGCTGCCTCGGCAGGAGCCGCTGCCCGGGCCTGGCTGCGATTGGGCGCTGGTGCCGTCAGTCGTGGTTGTGGCGCGCTGATTGGTGAGAGCGGGGCGGAGGCGGGCCCCGTCGGCGGGCTGAGGGCGGCGCCATTGTCGGAGCTTGTGTGCGGGCCCGGGAGCGGCGGCAGCGGGCGGAGCCCGGTGAGGCGGCGGCGGAGCTCGGAGGCGGCCCCGGCGCAGGTGGGAGCCGCGCTGGGTTGTGCGGGGGCTCGGGGCTGGCTGCGGGCCTCGGGGGCGGCAGGGGGCTCGAGCGGGTGGGTTGTGCCGTGGCCGGCCCGTGTTGGCCCTGGGCTGAGGGCGCTGCGGGAGCGGCTGCCCGCGGACTCCTTGCCGCCGCTGCCTCGGCAGGAGCCGCTGCCGGAGCAGCGCTGGCTCGGCCCGCTCGCTGTGGCTGGGACAGAGGGGGCTGTTCCGTCCCCGGAGGCTGCGCTGGGGTCGCCTCCCAGCTCCGCCGCCGCCTCACCGGGCTCCGGCCGCTGCCGCCGCCCCCGAGTCCGCACACGCGTTCCGGTAATGGCGGCTCTGAGGAGAGAGGGGCGCCCTGGGGGTGGCACCGGGGCCGTGCTCAGCCCCGCTCTGACCAATCAGTGGCCAGAACGAGGAGTGACGGCAGAATTAGCCAATTAGAGCGAGAGGCGGGCTCTGCACACGGCACGGCCTGGCCTCCCTTTCCCCGAACTCCGGCATTTCCCGGAACCCGCGGCTGAGGAGCGGCCCTGGCACTGGGCCCGGCCAGGGCAGGAGGCCAAGGAACCGCCGGGAGCTCGGCCTGACCGGGACCTGAGGGCGCTGGGAGCTGGGGTGAGTCCGGGACGGAGCAGGGACCCCCCTGCAGCCCCGGCAGGAGCCCAGGCCGGAGCAGGGGATGCTGGAGAGAGACCAAAACCTCTCTGTCACTTCCCACCTCACCCTGGGCAGGGAACAGAGCACGTAAGGAAAGGCTCGAGGGTCTGGATAAGGGCGGGGACAGTTCAGTTACTGGTTGCGGGCACAACACACTTGACTTGGGGAAATTAATTTAATTTATTATCCAACATGTCAGAGCAAGAGAATGAGAAGTAAAATAATTCCTAGGAAAACATCTTCCCCCCCACATCTCCCTCCTTCCCGGACTTTATCTGCATTCCCACTCTTCTCCCCACCCAGAGGCACAGGGGATGGGGTCGCAGCCAGGCCATGTCACAGCCTCAGGGTGAGGAATCCTTGTCCTGACGCAGTCCCTCGGGAACGGGCTGCTCCAAGGGGATCCGCCACGGGCTCACAGGACCCGCCAGGAGCCACTTCCATGGCTCTGCAGGGGCTTCCCACGGGCTCGGGGCCTCCCTCAGGCATCCCCTGCCCGCGGTCTCCTTGCCGCCGCTGCCTCGGCAGGAGCCGCTGCCGGAGCAGCGCTGGCTCGGCCCGCTCGCTGTGGCTGGGACAGAGGGGGCTGCCCCGTGGGCGGGGCTGTGCGGGGAAATTGCCGTGGCCGGAGGTTTGTGTGGCCCGAGCAGACAGAGGAGTCCTGTAAAAGTGACTTTATTGCTGGGCAGAGGCACAGGCCGTGCGGCATTTGCCAGGCGCTCTCTGCCATTGCTGTAGTACGCAGCCTCCTTTGGATCCTCATTTTCCCGGCCGCTTCTCCCTCTCCCTTTGCCCGCTGGCTGAGGTGCTTGGAAGGTTCAGACTTCCCGATCCGCCACCTGCATGTCCTCGTTAATGTGCACCCCCACTTTTGTGGGGCCGATATTCATGGCTTTGCTGAGTCTTTCTTCTTATCCTCGAAGTTCAGGAATTCAGTGGTACTTTGAGCAGCTCTCTGTGTCAATTAGTAACATTTTCTGAATCTCTTGCTTTCTTCCATTACTTCCTTATGTACAAGTCCCTGACCCTATCTCCCGGCAGATTCACTCAGCTGCTGAATGAGCTGCCCTCTCAAGGTGTCCGGCATGGTAAAAAGATGAGAGTTGCTGTAGCACATAGGAGGAGAAACTGCATTCGTTTAACTCATCGTCTGCCAGGGAACCACGAAACTGTGTCCCATTCCCATCGTTTCAACCTTTGGACTGGTACATGAGCTGCTTTCTTATTTCTTTGTTATCTGCTTCTCGAATTTTCCTTTCTCACCTTTTTGCAAGCAGCAGTTTGAGTCATTTAATTTCCCACAAACTCCTTTTTTTGCTAACAGTTAATGTGACTCCATGCCATTGTGAAGTGTTGTGTTCCTCATTTCAGTGGATTGGTCAGCAGGAAGGTCAGGAGCTGGAGCTGTCTGGTTGGTTATTATTTTGAGGACAGCTTGTCATCTAATGATGCCATTGAAATGATAAATGGGTTCTGTGGCTCCTGATATGAGTTTGTTCAGGCTCCCAGGGGCTGGTCCACAGTGTTGTAGGATTTCTTCTGGTGGCCTTTCAGCTTTTCAGAATTCCTTTTGCCCTCTGTTAGGAGACATGGTGTCAGCAGAAGATGTTGAATCCTTCCTGCTCAGGGCATTTCAGTGCCAGGCTCTCACAAGCACACACAGGTCCGCTGGTTGAGCTGACCATGGGGGATAACCTGTGCTTTGTCCAATTCCCCTTCCTTCCCTCCCTTGGAAAAGGGTGTTGCTTTTAGACACCACTTGTCTTCATTGATTCAAAGTACTTTGGAAAGGCTCCATATCTAACTTTCCCTCTTTGCCTGGGGCTGCCCACACTTCAGGGTTCACTTCAGCACAGGCCTTGCCAGACATATGGCACAGAGGTACAACAGAGCTAACCTCTGTATCACCTTTTATAATATTAAATTCCATTCCCAAGTGAGCGATCAAATCCCTTCCCAGTCAATTATAATCGCCATTAAAAGCAAATAAAAATTCATGTATTTCAAACCCATCTCCCACATCTGCTAATAGTGGTTGAATAAAACCACTCCTTTTCCACTTACTGTGTCAATAATGAAAGATATTTTTGGCATTTTTTTCCCCCTGGGGTCTAAGATTCGGAGTGGATGGAGAGGCCCCTGTGTCCATCAGGAGAGGCCTCCTCTGGATGCAGAGCCACCCTGAGTGTTCTCAAGGGCTCCAGTGCGGCCGAGAGCCCAGCGCTGCCCCAGCCCGACCTGCCCCAGCTCCATCCCTGCCCCTGCGGTGGGATGCTGTGGCTTTGGGGGGAAGAGGGAGCCGGCAGTGGGTGCTGGGCCTGGGGCAGGAGGAGAAGGGAAGGAGAAGCAGGGTTGAGGAACAGAATGGTCAAATGATGCATGTGGGAGGAAAAGGTGGGATTGTGCAGGAGAAGGAGGAATATGAGGAGGAAGAGGAGTGTGAGGAAGAGCAGGGACACATGAGGAGGAGTAGGAGCAGAAACAGGAAACGCCACAACATTTCATCAACCCCCTGTATCTCCAGCCTCACCCCCAGCCCCAGGATCATTGCCACCTGACCAGGTGGGGAGGATCCACGATTTCCACAGGGGCGAATCTCGGCTTTCTGGGTTTATTGGGTTCTGAGCTTTATTGGGTTAAATGTTCATGTTTTGTTTTTTTGTGAAGCCTGAATATTTGTATTTTGGAGGGGGTTTGGTCTGAATCTTGATGTTTGGGGAGTTTTTGAGCTGTGTCTTGATGTTTGGAGGATTTTTGTACTGAAACTTGATGTTTTGGAGGTTCTTACAGACACGAGATTCCCAATGGCTTCCTGAGATGAACTTGGGCAAGGAGGAACTCCCAGTCCAAGGCGCTTTCATCTTGTTTTTTTCTCCAAACCACAATTTTTCATTCTTACGCATCGCTGGATGGAGGAGGAGGAAAAGCCCTGGAGATATCGCACAAGGAGGGGCTGCAAATCCAGCCCAGGGAGCTGCGGGGAGGAAAGAGCCCCCCTGAGCCAGGAAGGCGGCCAAAGATCCCGCCAGAGCTCAGAGCTGGTGGAGAAGCCTCTTGGTGGGGAGAAGCCACACAAGTGCTTGGAATGTGGGAAGGTCTTCAGCCGGCGCTTGAACCTGATCCAGCACCAGGTGATCCACACTGAGGAACGGCCCTACGAGTGTGAGGAATGTGGGAAGAGCTTCAGAAGGAGCTCATACCTGATCCAGCACCAGGTGATCCACAGTGGGAAACGGCCCTATGACTGTGGGGAATGTGGGAAGAGCTGCAGAGGCAGCTCTGACCTGATCCGGCACCAGAGGATCCATACTGGGGAACGGCCCTACACATGTGGGGAATGTGGGATGGGTTTCATCCAGAGCTGCAGCCTGAAGAAGCACCAGAGGATCCACACGGGGGAGAGGCCCTACCAGTGTGGGAAGTGTGGGAAGAGCTTCAGCCAGTGCAATACCCTGATTCAGCACCAGGTGATCCACACAGGGGAACGGCCCTACACCTGCCTGGAATGTGGGAGGAGCTTTGGGTGGATCTCTGCCCTGAGAAAACATCACCAGCGCATCCACACTGGGGAGAAACCCTACAAGTGTCCTGAGTGTGGGAAGAGGTTTCAGATCAGCTCTGATCTCCTTGTACATGAACGGATTCACACAGAGGAGAGGCCCTTCTGCTGCCCCGACTGCGGGAAGGGCTTCCATGTAAACTCCCGCCTCACCACCCACCGGCGCATCCACACTGGGGAGAGGCCCTACAAGTGTGGGGAGTGTGGGGAGAGCTTCTCACAGAGCTCAACCTTGACCAAACACCAACGGAGGCGCCACTAAGGGAAGCCCTGTGAGTGCCCTGAGTACTGGAAGAGCTTCATGTGCTGCTCCAGCTCCATCCCCCATGGGAGGGGAGGATCGGCATTGGATGGTCTCCAGTGACCCCGTTGGGCAGATCCCTGATGACCCCTTACTGGAAATTGAAGAGAGAGTAAAACAGTGGAGCTGATTGAGAAACTGTGGGAGACACAGACACACATAAAGTCTCCTTTGGCAAGAAGTGACCAAGAAACATGTTGTGAGACTGTGTGATAAGATAATGTTACCAGGTGATGTGATGTCATGAACAATATGCAACCAATGGGAAATTGTTACCAAAAGTAGAGCCCTATATAAGCACCATATGAAGTAAAACCCTCTGTACAGGCCTGGTATACTCAATAAAATTGGCTTCTGATGTAAACTCGGATGTCCCCATCTCTCCATTGCTGATAATTGGTACTCTGTGTGAGGAGCAAGAACCAGCCTATCTGTGCTGCTGTTGGCAAGCCCTCCACAACTGGAAGTGCTGGTGCGAGAACCAGGAGTGGGCCCCAAATAATCCCTCCTCGGAGAAGGAGGTGAGCCAAGGGGAACATGGGACAAAGCACATTTAACAAAGAGAGAGGCTCTTTTGAACTCATGCTTGCTTTGCTTGGGAAACATGGCAAATCCTTGCCAAAGCTGGTCTTGAAACTTATTCTTAAATGGGTGGCTGTTAAACGTCCCAATGTCACTGCCTCCTCTATTTTTACAGCTGCTGTTTGGGATGACGTGGGGGTTGAGCTCTGTGATTTAGCTCGTGCAGGACACGAACCGGCAATGCGTATGCTCCTGTCCTGGAGAAAAATTTTTGAGACATTGAGAAAGCAAGAGCAGCCTCAGGCTGTATCCTCAGTGGATACCGCTGGCCTCCACCCTGCTCTGACTCTCCCTGCCCGCTTGAAACTGGTGCTTCTAAAACTGAAGAGCAGCCACAGCCATCTGCCCAGACAAAGGAGGAGAAGGCATCCTGTCCCTCGGTTGTTAGCAGCCTATATTGCTGACCATGGCTCTAGTAGAGAGGAGGAGGGGGACACCTTCAATCCAGGACCAATAGATACAGATGCTGAGCCTGGCCTATTCCCTCCTGACCCTCATGAAAACTGGGTGTGATTAAAGAAAAAGGGTCTTAAGGAGGCGGATTTTGATGTCACAGTGAAAATAGTCGTGCCAGTCAGACTTCACAGTGCCAGGGGAAACAACCTGCAGTGGGAACCCCTCGCTTATTGGAAATTAAGGAGCTACCCTGTATGGCTATGGAACACAGGCCAGGGTCTCCCTATTTTGCTCATCTTTTACAGTCTACGTTATCAACTCATCTTATGACTCCTCATGATTTAAAGGGATTGGTGAGCCTATTATTAACCCCAACTCGGTATGCCATTTTTGATGCTTGTTGCAAGGCACTAGCTTGTTGGTGGTGGAGCAAGAGGCAGCAATGCCGCAACCTTCCAGAAGCGTCTCCAGTAATGGAGCCACTTGGTGGCACAGGCACACACACACAATCACTCCAGCACACACTTCCGGTAGCTCTTGTAGAATTACCCACAACAAAGAAGTGGGAAGGGTCTTTGCATGGAGTTCCAAGGAGGTTTGTTGCAGCCACACATGAAGGGGTCCAGCGACATTGACAAAAGCACATTGGAGGGTCCATATTTAAATATAGGGTACAAGGAGGCAGAGCAGAGCATCAGGGCCAGTGGGCTGAGGGCTCAGGGTGGTACAGAGGCGGGACAAGGGGTGGCAGCCAATAGGGTAAAGGCAGCAGGACACTGCAGAAATATGGGACCAATGCATAAGCAGGGAAGGGAGAACATTCTAAGGCATATACATATGAGGAAAAATTAGTGGGGAGGCCAACGGGACAACCAGGGAGGTTTAACTGGGTTACATTTGCATATACAACAAAGCATCCTGTGAGAGGCTCTGCTCAGTCACCCTGAACAGGGAGATTTCTCCAGCTTAGGGAGGATTATAATGGATCTTTGTTCTGTAGGCCTATCGGACTCCACAATTCCCCCTTCTTTATTTAATAAAAAGGCATCTCCCAAGGATGGTTTGAAAATTAAACATTTAAAACAGCTTAATAAACATAAAACAATAAAACCAATCAAAAGCACCCATAATAAATCATTTATTTTGGATGCAAGCCATCCTTTGAGGCCCCAGTTTCCAAAGAGGTCCTGGTACGGGTCTGGGGCCATTTGAACTTTTAAGTTCTTTTGCTTGGTCCTGGATCTTCCAGATTTTGGCATGGATGCCCTCACTGTAGGAGGATAGGTTGAGGCAGCACAGCCTGTTGAATTTTTCTTTGGGCTGTGTCACCATCCATGTATCGATGGTTGGTGGTGATGGGGGCATCCAGAAGACCAGGATGACTGAGGCCATGTAGGCAGTGGCTCTCATTGTGGTGGATGGTGTCAGGGTAGATGCTTTCTGTAAGGTTTAAACAAGTTATTTTAACAATTGTCACATTTAGGGTGGGCAAGGCTCGTGCCTTCCCTTCTCTTCCTCTATCCCCCTTCTTTGTTTAATAGGAGAATCAGGAAAGGGGAATAGTAATAAGGTAAAATAAAATGCGTGGCTGTGGGGAAAATTAAAATAGAGAAGGGGGGATGGTAATTGTTGTAACTGGGAACAGGAGGGTATGTGGGAGGATGTTAGTAGGATATTAGTGAGTGGGGTATGGGGGGATGTTAGTAGAATGTTAGTAAGGGGAGGGGTGTGACTTATTTATTCTGTGGTTGTGGGTGACGTGTCCATGTCCAGCTCTGGTCCTGCTTCTTGTGGTGGGACAGGCGGGTAGATTTTGTCTGGAGGATTTGCACTGTCTCTGTCTCCATGCAGAGCTGGTCTCATCTTTTGGGTCTTCTATGTTGGTCTCAGGAGTGTTTGCCACTGGTGTATTTGTTTGTGCAAGAAGTGGTTTTAGAAATTTCCCTGGGAACCACCTGGGTCCTGATGGTGTTGAGATACAGGCATATCCTCTTCCCCAAGTTATTAAAGGGAAAGGGCCAGAAATATGTTGGGTGTCTGGGTCCTTGATCAGCACTGGCGGTTTTTCAACTAGTTTCACTTGGCATGAGTTGGAAAAGGAGAGGACAGGGGGGAATTGGCTCTGTGAATGAGCTGTTAAAAAATTTTATTGTATAAAGATCCTTACAGAGCCTCTCAGTTGGAGAGGTTGTCTCTGTCCCTCCCCGTTGCTGATCGAGAACCCGTTTAAGGGTGGAATGGGCTCTTGGGCTCTTTCAATGATAGCTTGGCTGGTGGGAGAATGAGGTGTGTCTGTATTGTGCTTTACCCTCCACTGATTGAAGCTCCATTCCTTTGAGCTTGTGGGAGGTATGAACCAGACCATTGTCTGTTTTAATCTCTTCAGGGACTCTCAAGGTGGCAAACGCAAGCAGAGAGTGCCTGATGGTCTCTTTGGCACTTTCTCCTGCATGGACCAAGACAAATACTGCCCCTGAGAATGTGTCAATTGACACGTGTTAAGTATTTGGATCATCCAAAGGCAGGGTAATGTGTAACATCAGTTTGCCACAACTGGCAGCTGTTCAGGCCTCGGGAGTTAACCCCTAAGGCGAAAGATGGAATTTGATAAACTTTGTAATTTGGACAGGTGGACACCATTGCCCTGGCTTGATCCCAAGGTAGTCTGAACATTCGCATTAACACAGAAACGTTTTGATGAAAGAAATCATGGCTTAGTTTGGCCTGTGAAAAAATATCTGGCACGTTGGCATGGTGCACAGGCATGGCCAGGGCATCTGCTTTACAGTTCCTTCTGCGATGGCTCCTGGGAGGTCTGTGTGTGACCTCACATGCCTAATGTGAAACAGTTGCTTTTGGTCGGAGAGAAGGTATATTCATTCTGAAAGCAACTTGTACAAATTAGGGTTTATTACCTCCCTTAATAGCGAATATTCTGCCCTCATAGCTACTCCAGCAACATAGGCCAAATCAGTGACTAAATTAACAGGTTCTTGGAACCTCTCTGACGCGGTGCCAGAGTCTCACGGCTAGCTCGATCATCCCACAGCACCATGCTGAGAGTGGGACACACCCCAGAAGCAGGGTGATCTGGGGTGCAGCTTAGAGCAAAAGCTCCATGGCACTTGGATGAAACAGACGCAGAGTGTGGAGGCAAGGATGAGGAGGAGGCTCTCAGTCTGGGTTCCAGGGAGAGGTTTATTTGAGGGAAAATCCAAGGACGAAGAGCCGCGATAAAGGGTTTGCAGGAACCTTTAAGTGGGGGAGGTTCAAGGGGAGGGTACAGAACTTCAACCAATTAGGGATATCCTGGGGAAGAACAAAAGGCTGGGGTTTTACAGTGTATCAACCAATGAGGGGGATGAGGGGAGGAGAATGAGTCACATAGTCCAATGGGGCGTCAAGGATTAGGGGATTTCCAAAGGGGAGGTTCAAAATGGGAGTGGTACAAAGAGACATTGGCAGGGAACTCACTGGAACAAGGGGCTGGTATTAAGGGGGATTGACATGCATGGGCTGGGCCGAGGGAGGATTGACACAGAACATTTGAGGGCAATGGGCAGGATTAGATGAGACAGACAACCTAGCGGGAGGTTACAATTTCAGGGACAAGCCATTAACTCTGGGGAATAAGTGGGATACAGACGAGTCCATGAAACCTAAAAATGCACCACAACACCTCTCAAATGCTCTGACAATGGCAGGGAGTTGAGCAATTTGAGGGGATCCCTCAAAAATTTGGACGTTAGACTCTCACTTCTGTTTTAGAGGATCCCTCCCAGTCATCACTGACTTGTGGGTTGCTCCTGAGCCATCTGTGAAAATTCTCAATGCCTTTAGAGGTTTTCTGTTTTGGACTAGTGTTGGGACCAAAATAAAAACTGAATTGAACAGCTTATGACTTGGTGGGTGGATGGAAATTTGGCCTGGATAGCTGTCCATGGTGAGTTGAAGGTGTTCATTTGTCTGGAGCAAGCAAATTGTCCAGATCTCCTGTTGTCAATGACACATTGACATGTGAAGTCATACCCAGCAAGGGTGGAAGGCGTGCTCTGGTTTTAACAATTAGTTGTGCCTTGAGTCCTGCAGAGTGGTGATTGTTTTGGTCAGTTGATGGTGGAGAAAGACCTACTTGAATATGAGGAGTGGATGTTTCAGTTCCTTGTCCTAATGGAATATTAGCGTGTGGGAATCTGGGTGACTTACCCAGAATTATGAGTCTGAAGGAAAGCATCGGATATGTTCAATGAGCTTGCTGGGAGAAGAGGGCTTTTTGCACTTTTTGATGGATTCCTGGGCCTCCGGAGTGATGCTTCTTGGGGAATCAAGATCCTTGTTGCCAAAAGGAGGCTGAAGAGCGGAGTGAGGTTTTCCATTGTAATCCCC